GTTGGTGAAAGAAACAAGCTTTTGAGCTGAGCTTCTCACTATTTCAGGGCTTCACAACCATGCAAGAATCAGACCTGGCCTGACATTGAACCATAAAACTTATCTCAAGAGCCAAACCTTGACAATCCTTGCCTTTAAACCAGGACAAAAGGCCAAGAATGCTAATCCAGAGACCAGCAACCGGGTAGGAGAATGAGAAGATTTTTTTGGTTGGCAAACACCATAGTTTGAACTCCCTCCTCCAGCTGTGCTAAATTATCTAATCTCCAGAAAGCAGCCTCCCATTTTAATCAGCCATTTGGAGGGCTGGTCCAGTGTGTGTAAAAAATTGTTGGCACTGCCAGGCATTCAGAATGTCACTCAGATGAGTAAGGCAACAAATCACTCTGCTGCGGCAGGAGCCATCTCCCAGGGATTGCGATTTTAATGAGTAATAGCTGTGGTCTAGAGTTCTAAGTGACCTGAACTACACTGTGTATCTTCCTAATGATGGATCCCACAGCTTAACAGTTATACAGACAAGGTTACAGCACATTTTCAATTGTCTAGCCTTCTTTGAGGTTCTGAGGAAAAGGTAATCCCTAAAATAGAAATTGATGAACGGTAATGTAAATAATAATGTTTTAGCCAAGTGTTATACATGGGGAAAAATCACCACAGCAATTTTGATTATTGTTATACAGGAAGCTTATTGTTTAGTTTCTGTGCCTCACTTACATCTTCGCTGCCTGACTTTTGTTAGAAAAGGTCAGATTTTGAGTAACTGTGTGATGGTATAATTAAACCTAATTAACGAGTAATTCAAGGAAGAAGGCTGCATTATCATATGAAATGATTTTTGTGACGATAAACTATCAAAGAAAGTTAGTGAAATGTGTGCATATTAGGTAGTTAGAATACCTCCCAAATGAAAACCTGTATGCTTAAGTTTTCTCATTTGTGGATATATGTCTTTTGTATCTGGACTTCATTTTTATATTTTCAGAGCTCCTTAATTTACTCTTTCAAAGTGAAACAAAAAACCCCAACATATTAAGGAATTCAAGTGAAGAGTAAATAATTTAAATTGTTTAAAGAGACTTAGAATGTACTGTAGAGAACAATCATAAATCTCCAGTGGAAGAAGAAGAAAAAAAATCTAGTAGCCTTATTTATATATTTTTTTTAAAAAAGTCAACATTATCAAAACTTTTCATTTTTCACAAAAATGTTGTACCTTTAAATTATTTTTAATTGTACCAAAATATGAATAAAGTGGTTATAGAAATTTTTCATTTACCAAAAACTGTTTTTTGTAAATGAAAATAAAAAGTTACATTTTCCATAAGGTCAATTCGGGGAGTAGTGGAGAGGTAATTGAATAATATATTGCCTAAAATGAAATATGCGTCTATTTCCAACACTTTGAAATTTCAAAATTAGTTATAAAAATAGATTCATTTTTTTTCTTCACACAGTATTTCTCACTTTGCCTCCTAATATTAAAGGAGGTACTCTCTTCTTTCTCACTGCTCATCTCTAAGGATCAGGTGACAATCTTATATGTCAGAATGAATGCACTTCTCCTTTCGGGAGTAAAAGAGTGTGCCATGTCTTTAAATCAGGGATCTGAATAAGGTAGCAAGTGTATGCCTCTCATGTGCCTTCATTTACTTTATAATAGGGTCTCCTTTCAGTGTTGTTAATAAACAGCAAGATCATCAGTCACTTCAAAGTGCTTTCATATTCCATAAATTGCTTTTTCTGCAGCAAGCAAATGGAGGGACGAGTTGATAGAAACCAGTAGCACCATAACTCATCTTCTATGGGATCTCCACAAGAGGTCTTAGAGTAGCACATGGACTTTCTATACAGGTAATAGTTGGAGGGTATAGATGGGACTCCTTTCTCCCATCAACCTTCTGCAGTACTGAAAAGTCATTAATGGATCAGCTTTGTATAAAGAATATTGCAAATACACAAAAGGTGGAATTTCACCTGGTAGATGCTTTTTCATCTGGTGCAGGGAAAGATTATTTTGCATCTATAGTTCTTGCAAGGTGTGATAGAATTTACAGGAGTGGCTGAAAGTATTTGCATCATGGTCAGAAGTATTTGACATTCTTGTGTTTGCCTCAAACACTGAGCGGAACTAAATTAAGGCTAGACTATAGAAAGGTATAGATTTCTTCATCCTTGATGGCACATATCACATTTGCTATCATCAACCCCAATCCTGCAAAAAGCTACACATACGGTTAGCTTAGTGCGCTGTGAATTCTTTCATTGAGGTCAATGAGACTATTTGCAGTGTGTAAAATTGAGCACATGCTCAAGTCTTTGCAGGGTCAGGGTTATTATGAGGGGGGATAAACTCACTGGAAGGAAACTAAACAGGAAACCACTCTTTGATCTTAGGCAAAATTTCTAGTATATCACTGAAAAAATTATGATTTCTTTTTAAAGATTTCACTTGATGACGAATTCTGGTTTAATGAACAGGAATCTGGCTGCCTCTTGCTAAATATAAAGATTATTGACTTCAGGTAATTTCTCACAAAAATACTTTTTTCCCCCCTAAAAATATTTTTTGTTTTCTCAAATCCATGAAATGGTAGATTTTCATGAAAGTTCTGAAAATATTTTTCTGTGGCTTGTCATGTCATTTTGACAAGGAGCAATGTCCAGCCCTGCTTGTATATTCCCCTCTGTTCCCACCTCTTCCCCGCTGCACTAGTGGTGGTCTTGCTGCATGTTGCACAGATGTTTCTTCCACTCAACTACATGGTTGTTTTTCAAGTGGCTTCTCAGAGCAAATGTTTCCATGTGTGTACGTTCCTTCTTTCTGCTGACATCTTTTCTTTCTATACAAACAATCTGCTGCTTTCAGATCTAGAAAGAGAATGCCCCATTCCACAGATGCTGGTTTTCCTTTTAGGTTCCTTGGCACTGGTACACATGGTCAGCAGGCAATCCCTCCCTTCTGTCTGTTCCTCATAACTAACAGTGTTGATGTTTTGCTCTTTCAGTCGTATTTCCCCCTGTTACCCTTACTCAGACTGCATTTTTTCCCTCTTTCCTGTAACTTTCAACTCTTTGTATTAGTGGCCCAGATGGGGTGTCTTCATTTTTTGCTGCAGCTTGGAAGGAAATGTTTTTTTTACCCAAGTCACCACAAACTATTGGCCTGTCATGAGTTTCCTTTCTTCGATGACTGACAGCACCTTGCTATTTTTTGTTTGTTTTTCAGCTAGGTTTTTTTGGGGGGTTGACACGGACTCGTGCAATTAAATTCACTTTCTTCAGCACTACTACTGCTCTTTTGCTTTTTGTGTGTTGTGCCGCTCCGTGTGGTGAATTCCTGGATGACTCAGAAGAGATGAGTAAAGGTCAGACCCTAGTGATGAATGAGATGATCTCCTTTTTAGTTCGTGTCTATGGTAACAGCTATAGATAAGATTGCCTAAACATTTCCAGTCTAAAGAGTCCTTTTCTTTTGCTTATAACTTTGTCAAACCTTTCATTTTAGAACTGAAATATTGCACATAGTCACTGACCATGGGTAAATTATTCTGAAAATTTGGCTCAATTTGGTTCAACAACTTTTGAATGTGAAGGCAGTGAAGAAAAATAAACTTTGCCACCACGACACATTTTTGCAACCTTTTATGAACAGCTCTAGTGAGTCATTCATCATACACCATCTAACATGGACATGAGGACCAGATTGTCCCTGGTTCTTTCCCATCTCCTCCAGATACCTCCCAGATACCTAAAGAACAGCCAGGGACAATTCATCAATGACTATGTTGGATGGTGAGTGAGGAAAGGATATGTACAGAATGACCTGGGATTCTATGGCATCTGCCTTAATTTGGGCCACATTTACTTGAAATCGCCACAGTGTAAATTTGGAGTAAATCCATTGAATATGCCACTGAATGAGCCACTTGTCCTGCAGAAAAAATATTATGTGATCATATAATTAAAGAATGCATTGTAACACATATGCACAAGAGTTAAAGTAAGGGCCAGCAAACACTCCAGCTTATCACAGTGCTACCAAAGTATTTGGGGGCAATTACTGGAGAATACTATAGTATTTTATTTTAGAAAGAGCAATGAAAGGATATATAAAGATTAGTATAATTTTCTTTCCTTTATTTTGATAAAGATGTAAGTACTTTGGAAAGAAATAGATACGTTATTTAAACTGCTGTGTTTTGAAGTAAATTTGGGTTTAAATCGAGAAGTATTTACAGTACCTGACAGTTTCACTTTATAAATGTGGGATGGCACTCATTGTTCTGCAGGTTTACGTATCTCAACAGAGCTGCATGAACACTTCCAAATATATTCACAAATTCACTTTTCCAACCAAATTTATTCACTTTCCAGGATTATTTGGTGAATTTTCACACTAAAGTGTTCTGTGGATCTCTTCATAGCTCTTTGTCGGCTTGAGGAATAGAAATAATATATCTGATTTACGTAAACAATCACAGTGCAAAGAGTGAATTATAGCTAAAAAATATGAATTAACATTTCCATTCCTCACTCCCAGACATAAGAACTAAATCAAGACCAAATGAACCTAGCATCAAGACCACATTTTATGACTTGATCGTATTAATGCAGGCCTTCCACAGATTCATGCTGTAGTGCTATTTGGGATTCATGTATGTCTTCTCATATTCCTCAGGAGCCATGATCATTGTGACTATAAACAACAATCACGAACACACTGGGAATGCTAGAAAAGTGAAAGAATCATAGCTTCATTATGTCTTCCTTTGGTGATAGGATCACAGAAGAAAACATAACACAGAACATGTCAATATTTGACATAGAAAAATCAGAATTATTAATTATATGGAAAAACATAGGGTATTCTAGATTTTTCTAAGAGTAAAGGAATTATATAGCTATGGTGCCTGGAAAAACCTCTCCTTAAATGTGCAATATTTGTGCTTTATATGTTGTGCTAGTAATATGTTTGAAGAAAAATTATTATTTCACAGACTTCCTGTCCCTCAGAGATTACTTTTGTCAGCAGTGGGCCAAGTCCTTGACCAGAGAGGAGGATCATGGGTACAGAAAGGATCATTGGTGGTATGGACTTCTTTCAGTGCCATTTGTAATACATGCATTGTAATATATAAACTACATTACATAGGCCTGTGTAACCTTCTAACATAGGGCAGGTTCTCAAAAGATCAGCACCCCAAATTTGGGTCTGAAACGTAGCCATTTCTATTCTAAACCTACTTATATATGGGAATAAACAGTACATACACACACATATTTACTAACATCATCATTATTATTATCTTAATGATTATGGTAGCACCTACGAGACCCAGCCAAGGCTCTGGGTCCCATTGTGCTGTACAGAAAAATAACAAAGAAGACAGCCTTTGCCCTAGAGAGCTTGTAGTTTAGGGGTGAAGTTAATAGCAAAACTTCCATTGACTTCCATGGGGCAAGGATATTACGCTAGGTGTTAGACACGACATGACAGGTATATAAAAAACACAAATAGGGTGGGCTGGGAGATGAGATAATAAAATGAACAAAGTTTTAGCAGAATAAGCAGTGAAGCAAAAGTGGCAGCTTGTTACTTGCCTAACCAAGTATATTTACATCATTATATAAAATATGCAGATGTGCACATTTAGTGCACATAGACAAACATTTTTAGTTATAAGGAATGTGAATCCTTTCATTTCATTTTGTAGCATTATAGAACAATGAAAGTGAATACAGCCATTGAGGAAGAAATTCATTGGCAGTGTTCAAATGCCAGCACTCATCATCATAACCCACCCAGAAAAGAGATTTTACTCTTTTTTACAGAGGAATTGTTTTTATAGCAAATGCATATTTTTATACTAGAATCTTCCAAATCAAAAATGATGTTGTGAAACATATGCACATTTGTATTTTTATGGGTAATATAGTTTTCCTAATAACCTTTTCAAGGCAAAGATTCTGCCTGATTTACAGAAATGGAGTCCCTGTAAATTTGATTAGGCATCTAAGCACATCAGTCTATCTAGCAGCCATGTACCTGATTATGCATAGGTATGTTATATGAAGGCAGTTTAGCTTGGATCATATCATGGCTCTAACCAAAGTGGATTTAGAGATAATGAGCTTGCATCTTAGAATACTTAGGATTTCAGCATGCTCTCTAAACTGATGATGCAGCAGCTGCATAATGCAACAATGTAATTTATTCATGTAATATGTACAGTATTGCTGTAATAAAAAGCTCATTGGTGGTTCCTCTAATTCTTTATCTGAACACGCTGTTATTGGTAGCTGTGTAAGTTAATATTTCAACATTTCAATTTCTGGCTATTTGGAAGTCCAAGCTATAATATTTTAAAAGATAAACATTTTATACAGTGTGAGCTGTACTTTGAATCTGCCTGTATTGAGCTTAGTTCTTTAGCTTGTGAACAATACATTTTGTGCCAATTTCACAAAACCTGGAAATTATAAAAAGAGAAATGACAAATAAGACTGGATAGATTCTGGACTTTGCACAAAATATATAGTATTTTAAGTGTGGTATATGAATCATTTTTCTTTTTCCTTTTTCTAAAAAGGAAGTTTAGACAAAATATTTCAGAAAGATGTACTTGGTTTACATGAGAATAATGAGGACTACACCGAACTGTGTGCTGGCTTGCATTAAATAGCTTTTTTTTGCTTACAAATATAGCAATGTTTATATTAAAGGTAGATTTTCTCTGAAGTAAATTTTAATAGGCATATATTAACTTTCAACAGGAGTCTACATGTAAAGACAGTGATGAAGAGCATGACAACAGAATGCTTGAAAATTAATCTGCCAGTTTGACCCAGTAACCGACATGCATACTAAAACACTGATGTGAATTGAAAATAAAATAACCACGCTTGACAGATATAATAGTTTAAGTGATTTCAAATTAACCACATCCCACTGACCACAAGTGAAGAATGTGTTCATTCTCCCGCAATGAAACATGCTCTAGGGACTCATTATATAGAGTAGAGTAAGTAAAACCAGAGTGGAGTAATTGATGCTGAGGAGGAAGAATGACAGCTATTTAATGATTCTCAAACTTATACATAAAGATACCACAAGCACTTAATATATTATTTCTCTCTCTCCAATCTAGAAATATTATAGGCTTAAATCTATATTGCGTAGTAATTGCAACACTTGATATAGCTGTTAGGAATAATGAATCATGGCAAAGATGCATCAGCCAGTACATGGAAAGAGTGAATAACAAACAACCCTGTACCATTATGTGTATATGTATGATGTGACTTATTTTGCAGTGGTGCGATGAAGCAAGGGTATGATATCTACTTAATCTATCTGTCATCATAACTGGTTTATAAATATTAAAGGATTCCCTAAACAGTTTTTGAATAATCTAAAAAATAATAAACACTTGATTTCATTTTACATTAGTTGGGTTATTTTTTTCACATACACTAAAAACTTTTTTACAGGGAAGTTACAAAAGCAAAAGAAAGAGATTAATAGATACATAATGATGAACAGGTACAGCTAGTCCTCTGGGGCCAGCAGGACTAAGTCCCACCAATAACGTCATTAGTATATTATGTGGCTGATGTATCGCAAGATTCGTGATACCACTGAAGCTGCCTGGTGCTGCTGCAGCCACTAGAGGCTGAAGAACACCTGGATGCCAGTGGGTACCATCTAGTCCTGCAACATATAGACCTCACACAGCAAAGGAAGGAGACACAGAGCAGAAAATATAGGCTTCTGTGAGGCTTTTTCAGTTCAGTCCCAGAGTCAGAGTATAGGACTGACTTACAGGTACCTTGGAGCCTTTGCTTTTCCTTGTTACTCGTAGACCCATCAATTATATTTGCTGCCCCTCGCTACTGATTATGAGTTGCACAAAGGGTTTATAAATGATGGGATGTCATTTACTTCTTGGCATCAATGGTAAGACTGCCAGGAAGGGATGTTGGTTAGCCCATATTGTGATGATGGTTTCATAAAGTAGATATGTCTCCACTAAACTGAAACCACCAACAATATTTGTAATTGGTGGCTGAAAGCCACCAGTTAACAATGATTATTGGCCATTACTAAGGAAATAAGTTTGACACCAAAAATGCTGCATAAAATAAAGGAGGAGTCATGGAAATTTTCATTAAAATCAATGGGTGAAATCCTGGTCCCATGAGAGTTTTGCCATCAATTTCACTGGGGCCAGGATTTCACTCACTGAATTTTCACCAATGCTTTTAACCTCAAATTTTTTTGTCATCTACCCCCTCAGTATGATGTATTATGGACAGTTTACAGCCTTCAAAAAGGAAGGTTCACAGTGAACTTCCAGACTATGGGTAAGCCTTGGCTTTCCATTGCCTGGGCATGGCATGACATCCTCCTGTTGCCAAATTATTCATCTCATCCAAAGACAGCACGTCCATAATTGTATCTCCACCCAACACAACGCTTAGCATTCACTCAGTACTGGCTCACAGGGAAGAGTGCTTGTACCTTTGGCCTTGTCTGCGCTCGAAAGGGTTTGCTGGGGTAGCTATAATGGCAAGGCCTTCTACTGGAGATGCAGCATATACCTATTAAAATAACCAAGTCAAAGCCGGAGATAGACCAGTTTTCCAAATGGAATAAGTTATACTAGTAAAAGGACTTTTTTTCTGATATAACTACATTGGCTTTTGCTGGTATAGCTATGCTGGTTAGGGATGTGATGTTTTTCACACACCTAACTGACATAACTATGCCAGCAAAACTTTTAAGCATGGACGAGGCCTCCATCACTAGCAACACATGCTGCAGTGTCTAGGTGTTGCTTGGAGGTCCCCAATCAAAGCACTAATAATGATCAACCTTCTTATCTTGAGATATTTGACAAAAATAACAGCACAAGGTAGGTATACACTAATCCAAGAGACTTCATTATTAATGCAGCTTTATGTGTGTCGCATCTAAACAAAATAATAGTTGTCTTTCTAGGAGTAGTTATCTTTTCCGTCCATCAGAGGGCACCGCACTGACTAAGGAAGGAGGTTTTTTTTAATATTTTATTTTTTTCTAAAATGTTTTCAGGAAGTTGCCACTTGAAAGCTTTTTTCCCTGTTTGAGTTGACAAGTCCAGAACCATGGGAGGTATTTATTTAAGCAGGCAGAAGATGTCCCTTGCTCCCCTGTACAGTTAAGTGCCACTCCTCCGCTGGTGCATAATGTAAGCCATCTTGCTCTTAGGGTATATCTACGCTGCAATTAAAAACCCGCCATTGGCCCATGCCTGCTGACTCAGGCTCATGGGGCATGGTCTAAGATGCTGTTTAATTGCAGTATGGACGTGCAGACTTGGGCTGGAGCCTGGGCTCTAGTACCCTGCAAGGGGGGGAGGTCCCAGATCTTGCGCTCTATCCTGAGTCTATGCCGCAGATAAACAGCTCCTTAGTCTGAGTCCCTTGAGCTTGAGTCAGCTGGCATGGGCCAGCAGTGGGTGTCTAATTGCAGTGTAGACATTGACCACACCGCACCGCATCTTTAAATGGGGGTGGGGTATTTGTCTGGCTAGCCGAATGGAGGGAATAATGCTTTATGGGCTGGGGAGAGAAGAAAGTGGCAAACTGCTGCAAAAAGGGGACAAGGGGTGACAATGACTCATCCCTTGGAATCCAGATGGACAGAAGGGTTTACAAGGGGTAGCCCGTGCGGTGAAGCCCCCTTTCTCATGGAGTAGGAAGGGATACAGTGACGATAAATGGATTGGTAAAGGACTTAAAAAGGAGATGTTGGTTAAAGGAACTGAATAGCGTGGGGTTGGGGACTCCTATGGTTGGTATGGCAGGGAGTCAATCCCCCTTTCTTATAGCCCATCTTAACTCTTCTATGAGGGGAGAGGGTGGATGGTAAGGGCCCAGCAATTGGTTGGCTGGGGGACCTGGATGGAAAAGAGGGGTGGCTGGTGCAAGCCCTGCAAGAGATTATTGAATGAACATGGGGTTACCTGCACGGTACACTTTTATGTGCTGGGCAGTCCCAGATACCGAACAATAAAGTTGCGGCCTGATTATAGCCATATGTAATATCTCCTGTCCTCCTTTCGGTATAGCTGGACAATCCCTCTGTAAACCTCACTACAAAGAGACAATACTTGCTTCCTTTTAGGAATCTAAATTAGCCCTTATGATTAGTGAGCCCTAGTGCCAGAAGCATATTTTAAGGGTCCTGAATTATACTCCTAGCAATTATTTAATCAAATATTTTTAAAAGTGCAGTGTAAGCTGGTGGGATGACTCAGCTGAAACAAAACAGCAACACTCAGTGGGGTTTACAATCATAACCCCAAACTAGACAATAGAAGCAAAAACAGCTCCCCCTGCCAGAATGTTCCCAGGCAACCTAATGTTCTGCTCCCTACAGGTATTTCCCCTCCGCTCCCAGCAGGCTTTTCCCAGAGCACCCAAGTAAGAGGAGGGAAAAGTAAAGCTGGAGTTAACCCCTTGTGTACTATGGTCTAGGCTGTGACCCTGCACCCTATCACATATAGTCTTTTCAGACAGTTTAACCCTCTGTATAAAACACCTTCTCTGAGCAATGGTTTTATAAATGAACATTTAAAAAATAACCTAGTCAAAGCAAGGAGATACACACATTCTTGAGCTATGGGCACATTCCAGAGTGGTGCTCAGCCTGCCTCAGGATCCAGTCCTATATCTGCAGGCAAAAATGAGATGAATTGAAGAAGACCCAGTAGGTGAAAATATGTTTTGGCATCTATGCAACACTGCAAATGAATCAGGATATTATAGCAGAATACTATAGCAGTACCATCTGTGCCACTGTCTGCAGGTAAAGCAAATGCAATTTTTAAATAAAATAAATAAATAAAACTCTTCAGTTTGTAAAGGACTGCGCTGTCTCCCTCTTCTCTCTTATTGTTTGCCTATTCCACCCAGTGCCGCACACCTTAAGGCCAAACATGAGTTGTGATAGGCTGTCATGCGGTTCGGATATTATAGATGAAATCCTTCCAGGAGCAGCATCTGGCTTGCTTTGTAAGCTCTGCAGTCATTTGTAGAGATGGGGTTACATGTGCCCTAGGCTTTGTCAGATGGCTAGGCTTCTTTTTCTCCAGGGTTCACTTTTTTTTATTCATCTTTGATTGTGAGGAATTCATGCTCTAAAATACATGCTTAACTTACCATTATTTTGTGGGTTTTTAATTTTTTTTTTTTATAAATAAGGCTGTTTGAAAGCTGGCCATTTATATGCTGGGTTTAAATGTATTTTTCTAGAGGGCCCATATTAGACTTCTTTACAAATGCAAAATAAACTCTTCTGTGTCTTTCTTTACAATACTCTACCTCTGTCCTAGAGTATTCCTGGACCATAGAGTCATGGGAATTAGTGATGGAAATGACCCAAAGCTACCTTCTCCCTCTAGCCCTACTAATGCAGGGTTGGTCCCAGTGCACCAGAGAGATTTTAATATATTCCAAACATTTTGTCCAGTCTAATTTTAAACAATTTAAGCAATGAGGCTTTTACCACTTTTCTTGGGAAATTCATAATTTAGTAATCCTCACTCTTAGACATTTTTTGGATAATCATAATTTTTTGATCTATCTCATTCTTTATCCTACTTATAATTAGTCCACTCTCACCACTTTCTTTCTGACTTTAAAATAAGGTAGTATTTGATTCACCCTCAGCTGGAGTAAATCTAAGTAGTAGCTCCATTTAGTTCAGTGGAGCTACATTGATTTACACCAGCTGAGAATCTGACCTATGTGTTTAGCTTCTTCAAATACTTGTATATGGTTAGCATATTTCCCTTTGCTGTCAGTTTGCCAGGTTGAACTTATTTAGTTCCTCCAAAGATTTACAATCCAAAGGCCACTCTTACTCACATTAAGTAGTACATTACTCAATGAGTAGTCTTACTGAATGGAATGGGATGGAGAAGGTACTATTCAGTGTGAATAAAGGAAACATAATCTAACCCACAGTGACAACATTTAGACAAAATATGAACCAAGGAGATGGGGAAGGAAATGTGAGGTAATTGTGGGTTGGGCAGGGGGGTATTTCTTCACACAAAGCACTGTCAACCTGTGGAACTCTTTGCCAGAGGATATTGTGAAGGCCAAGACGATAACAGAGTTCAGAAAAGAACTAGATATATTCATGGAGGACAGGTCCATCAATGGCTATTAGCCAGGATGGGCAGGGATGGTGTCCCTAGCCTCTGTTTGCCAGAAGCTGGGAATGGGTGACAGGGGATGGATCACTTGATAATTACCTGTTCTGTTCATTCCCTCTGAAGTAGCTGGCATTGGCCACTGTCAGAAGACAGGATACTGGGCTTGATGGACCTTTGGTCTGACCCAATATGGCTGTTTTTATTTTCCTTATGTTCTTATGGGGTAAGTGGAGAAGCAATTTGCAGGCAAGCAGATGAAGTAAGTGGTGTGAGATTGAGGATGGAAAAATCAGGATACATAGTGAAGTTGGTTAGGTGATACATAATGCAGCATGATAGGTGCTGAGTTATATTTTAAAGTATTTAAAATGTTTATAGGGAATAGAGAGGTTTTTGAGGAATTGTGTGGACAGTAAGGTGAATGAAGCTGCACAACTTACGGGTTAGAGTGAATGAATTGATATTCATGTCCAGAGAGTTGGTTATAATCTAGAGGTGGCCAAACACTGCAAAACAGGGTTCACAAATATTTGTTCAAATTGCTTGATGTCTCCATGTTTTTGCCCCTTTTTATTCACTGTTCCTAGACACTTGTTCTAACTGGGGTTGATGATGGTTGTTGTTTTTCTTTTTTCAAGGGTGTGTGAGGAATGGCTTTTATTCTTACGTGTACTAGAATTTGTGTGTGGTTGTTTTTTGCTGTTAACAATCACCATTCATTATTCTCTACCATTTTTCTGTCATCCAGTCAGATAGCAGGAGAAATATGATGAAACTTAGATCACACAGAGCAAATAATAAATAGTGACTAAATGAAGTGTACCATCTGAGAACAATCTATAACCTGAAATTTGGTCACATAAACTGTTCATAAGCAATAATGAGTTGTCAACAAATCTGTAAAAAACAAAGTTGGCTTGGGAACAATTTTTATACCAAGAAAAGAGCTAAGCTCATTGTATATAATACACTTATAATGAATAATTTAACCATCTTTATTGTGAACAAAGGGAATTAGCCTGTAAGGCATTGCATTGTATGACAGTTTTTTTCTGTGTGCTCTCCTCACAGGCCTCCCCACAAGACAAAGCCGGTTCAGAAGGCTGTGAGACACAGGAAGAGCTGTGGATTGATTTTAGTGTGTGATGTGAAATCAGCAAAATGTATCTTTGTGCCTGCTTTTGGTGCTTTGTCTGGCTACTATAAAAATGCTTCTGCTTTTGGGAGGCCCTGTCGAAGATCTTCACATTCTTTGTCTTTTCTGCTGTAGCAAATAATGACTATGCTAAGTTTTTCTGTATAGTTTTACTGTGATGTGGCTAATCACCCCATTGAGCAGCAAATGGATCTATGGGGCACAGTTTGTGAACAGCCTGTAGTCTGAAATATGTTTGCATGAAGAATTTGTCAATTTTAAATAACGAACTTATTGGTGAAAATCAAAGTCTTTGTTAATGATTTGCAAACAGAAATTGGGCCAGAGGCTTTGATTAAACTGTTCACTACAAATAGTTCACCCAGATGCAGTCCTCATCAATGTCAGTTGACTATTGCAACCCTTTTCTGTATGGCTTCCCCAAGCTCCAGCTCTAGAGATTTAAGCCTATGCACAGTGTTGCTACCTGTCATTTCACATGGATATCTGTGCACATATAAGTTAGGCCAATTTTATTCCTCCTGCAACTTCATTGACTTCTGTGTAGTTGTAACAAAGATTAAAAAACAGACCCTCATCTCCATCTTCAAATTCCCCTTGCATTCCAAAAATTCAGTTCTACTCTAGAACACCTCATCGACGCGGTGAGTCCTCCTCCTTCTCCTCTTTACTCTGCAATTGCACATGAGTTCACGGTGCAAAAGCCCTCTTTTATGTCACTCCTATAATCTGGAACGGCTTTTTTATATCTCTGTGCATCCACAATGCCCCATTCCATCCCAACTCGCCTTAAAGTACACCTTTTCTGTCCTACATATGCCTCTGAATTCCTGTCCTTCTATTGCCCTCATGAAATGGTTTAACTTATTCACCATACAACATCTTTAGACACTGCTCACACCAAATGGTCTCTTGTATTAGTTAACCATAACTGCTCTTTTAGGTCACACTCTGGTTAAAAGATAACAAAATAAAGTTGTGTTTACTGCCTCATTGGTCACTGTCCTTTTTTTCCTGCCTGCCAACCGTCTTTCAATTCTGTGTTGTAAACACTGTGTCACTGAATAAAAGGAACACGTGGAAAGGATGCGTGGTTTGCATCTCTTGGTTCTATGGCTTTCTCTGATATTGACTTTGAAAGAGAGCCGTGATTTTGTGCTCACTACCATATACAGTCACCTGCATTCCCACTGACTACCCCTCTACTACCCCTCCTCCCCTCCCAAAAAACCCTCAACAACTTTCTTTTAGTAGTTTTAGGTTTGATGTTTGAAAAAGCCACATGCAATTATGGTCTGGAGTTGCCCACACATTTACTACCACTTTGCATGCAAATGAGTTATTTGCACATAAAGATGGCTGTTTGTTAATTAAACTGGTTACGCAAGCATGGACATTGGAAGCATACATATTTTTGAAGTTAGGCCCTTTGTAACTAAAATAATAAGCAGATCCCATGAAATGATAACTGAATTTATTGAAGATGAGCAGGTGTGAAGGAGGACCATGGTGGAATAGGACTGGAAGGAGGAATGAGAGGGGGAAGAATCATTATTGTAGGATAGTGTCTATTTTCTTGAAAAAGTTCATTGGCAGAAAAGGACAAGCGGGGAGTGGGAAGAGGGATGAAAGAGAGAGTCAAAGATAGAGAAGAATTGATGATCGTTGATTTCATAGGAATAGATTAAATAGTACTACAGGCTCAGCAAGAAGAAACCTACACATTTCACAAAAAATTCTCTCTTATAAAGCACACAATGGAGAAGAGGTCTGGATTGGCATGTGGAGAGATCTGTCTGACCTATTCTCATAGGGGGGGAAAAGCTCAGAAAGAACAGAGGGCACTTCCTGCATATACAGCAGAATTTGATGCTAGCCTTAGAGGGAAAAGAATTGGACCTGTAGCTGGTAGGGGAATTTTTTGACTAATTGTTTTTTCATTGAATAATGCTAATTAGTCAAAACTGAAACTGTAAAACGGGGTTGGGTTCGATGAATTTCCTGAGTTGAAAAAATGTCAGGGAAAAAAGTTGTTAAATTGTTAAAATGTTTAATTTTGATATTTTCTAATCAAAATTCCAGCTTTCCAGTTCAAAATGACTGTAAGATAATTAGACTGAAAAAGGAATTAATAAAAAAAGGTCAAAATCAAAATGAAATTATAGAAACTAAATGTTTCAACTGACCTGAACTGACAAAAATCATATTTCTGGTTTGCAAGTATTTGAGATTTCAACTTTTTGTCTTGATCTGAGACAGAAAAAAAATTGTACTCTCAGAAATATTTGTGGGCTTGGAAAACCATTTCCCACCCAGACTTGCTGGGAGATTATTCCCATATCTGAGAGACTGTCTTGTGGCAAGATCCATGCTATATGGGTACATAAGGTTGTATTTTTAAAAGACAAAATATGAGTGTTTTTTCCTCTACTGTATATAAATGGTGGGTCAAGTCTTGCTCTTACTTGTCATGGTGCACTTCATATTCATTTCAAGTAAGTGGTGCCAGGTGGTTAATGTATCAGTAGCAGGAGAAAAGGGTGGGAGCATGCCACTGTTTAAACATTCGTCTTTTATCTTTCATTGGACTAAGTGGAATATAAGTAGATGCCTTTGACTTCCAGAGAAGTCTCTTCTTCAACCCACTCAAATCCCATTTCTTGTGGAAAGGGATTGTGGCTGAACTAATTTTTTTCATTTTGTATGAAGAAAATAATCAGGAAAGTAAAACATAATGATTTCACACCGTGACTATAATGCAAACACATACTTAACTATCACTGTCTCCGCCCTATACAAGGACCAAAAACATCTGTGTTGTGTACTGAAAGATTACACGCTGCATTACAATTAGAAATGTGCTGAAGTCTTGGATTGGGTGTTTATTTATGGTCCATGAAAAGTAAGATTCTATGTGCTTCTTATGTACATCTAAATAGCCAAAGGTAGAGAACTCAACATTTCAGAACCCAGCAGTCACTGTGAGAATGACTTCATTATTCTCTGAAGGGGGCTTTTTGTCAACAGAGTCTGGTTGCTGATAAACAAAAGCTAACATTACTGAAACCTGGAAACAAGAACTTAAGCAGGTCAAACTTGATTTGAGAGAATGCCCACACAGCAAAAAAGGCAAGATGCTTTGGGAATGCAAGCCACCCAGGATTCACAATAGACGCCCTCACTGGAATTGTGCACAAATGTTCTCCCTTGCAGCACCAAAATACGTTGTTCATGGTTCACTAAAAAACAAACAAATAAAAACCACTGACAATCCAACCACCCCACCCCACCCAACACTAGCCATATTTGGTTGTTGTTTCAAATATCCTAGAAAAACAAAAGCAACTTCATAGGCACCAAAATGTCATAATGCTGCAATACACTTTTGCAGAGATGCATGGTGCTGCTCACTAATGGTTGGGAATTTTTGTAGTGCACAGAGCCTCACCATATTTTTGTCTAACACTCTGCCTGCCGGCAAAAGCACAGTTTCATATGGGATCTAATTTTATAATATCTATTTTCTCTTGCTAACATTTATGAGCCAAACTGGTAGTTTGAAAGACCTCTAATCCTTATGTTTTATAACCTTCCCATTGCTGGGTATGTATTCTCCAAATTCTCCCCATGAAAATATTTGGTATGGGTTTATCTGGGGGCTGGAGGTACCACCAATAGGCAAAGCTTTTTTCAGAAACCTACTCTGGCTCAGAGTTTAAAAGCAAGGGAGTGCAAAGGTGGGTTGGTTCATAGAAAAGGAAATAGAAAAACAATTTTCTAGGGCTAATTCCTCAGCTGGAGCTAAGACAATTTATTGAGCATTTAGCCTTTTAATTATTACTTTGTTATTGACTCATACAAGAAAACATATTTTACTGATGAATTGTTGAGGTAAATATTATTTAATATATCATATATTGTATCTTTACTTTAACACAAAGAATTTGATCAGCTCACATTTTCCCTGGCTATCAAGTATTTTACCTATTTGCTTGAGTGTCTTGTCCTTTGTCAGAACTTGTGGGTTGGTTTTCCAAGTGGATTCAGATTTCTTCCAGAGTGATCTACAGATTTCTGGTAATACCTCAATTAAACACGCGTCATTGGCACTGATTTTCCACATGATTATCCCAAATAGCCATGGAAAGGCACAGAGCTGTCAATCAGTGCACAATGGATACATGTCTGTACAACAGTGTTTGTTCAAGAGTGGAAGACAGCTCTGGCATTTCTTTGCTTTTAGAGTGCTTTGCAAGATATGTAATCATCACTTTATTAGATTCATTTTTCAGTGAGCATGTTGAGAGTAGTTCAGGGCAGTAGCAGAAGATACAGAAAAATATACCGAACCAGACCATGATCATTCTTCACAGTCTTATATGGATGTCAGTGATTATTTTTGGTGGAATGATAACTGCAATGAGGAATTTTCATTCAGAAGCTAAGTGACTTCAACTTTTTTCTTTCCTATATAAGTGCAATGGGAGTGGCACTTTGGGGTAATAATGGGGCAGAGAATCCTAAATCCTGTGAACCTGATTCTGACCTGTGCCCCTCAAGAAGTGCAGTCAGGCAGTGGATAAGGGCAGTGAGGGGTAGGTGAAAGTGCCTTTATGCCTTCTTTGCTCTTCTGGGATCCTGGCTGCCAGGGGGAAGCTCAGCCTTGAGAGAAATCTAGAGTAGACCATGGGGCTGTTCTAAGCGTATGTCTATACTTCAAACTGGCGATGCAATTCCTAGTTCAAGGAAACATACCTGTGCTAGCTCGATCTAGCTAGAGCACCAAAAGTAGACTGTAGTGGATACTCCCCCAACTTGAAAGGTAGCTGTACCCTAAGTTACATGTGGTCTGTAATGGTCCCAAGGGACATTCTGACAGCCAAAAATTCACTCCACCAACTATAAACCTCAGACTGTCAGTGGAGCATGGGGAGGTGAAATTCACACACAAGTCAACCAAGGGACTAAATAACATCTAATTTATTGAATGCAAGTTATTTCTGTTTTGTAAAACAAGAAAATGTATAAGCTGCAAATATCATCCTCATAATAGGTTTCATGAATCTTGAAACTCCCTTCAAGTGCTGCAAAGAATTGGGCCACTTTGGGACCTCCGGAGCATTTTCATGGAACTTGTACAACTAAACGCTGAGCTTTTATTTTGGCTCCACATAGGCACAGCCATGCTACACAGCCAGTTGCAGAATTAGAGTCCTGATTATCAAGCACATGTCAGTAATAGAATTTATGCAACAAAACCAATTGGCCCTAGTGTAAATCAGCATTTTACACCAGCTTAGAATTTGGCAAAAAAACCCATTGGCCCTAGTGTAAATCAGCATTTTACACCAGCTTAGAATTTGGCTCATTTTGTTCTGTAGTAATAATATGGCACTTGGCTCATTGTGGTTCACATTTTTCCCCACACTTGCATGTTTAAGATATATATTTTTTTAGTTCAGAAGATGAGGAAAATGGCATGTTTGTGTAGAAGCTGAATGCAGTTACATATGCAGATAGTCCAAGAATTTAGAGCCCAGATATGGAAAGTCTTCTTTACTGTTCATAAAAAAGTTTAAAACAAACATCCTCAAAAGAGAAAACAGAAGGGGGGTTGCTGTTCTTGATCCTGTGTTGCATTGGATATGCATGTTGTTGCAGCTGCTTCTGTTCAAGAGAAAGTTATAGCTCTGTAACTTTTGGTACTGGTGATGCACTGGAATGAAATAGTCAAGTGTCAGATTCTGATTATTTATGCGCTACAAAACCTAATTATAATGCACAAGAAATAGAAAAGATTTTGGAGACAGCAAAAGGCACAGGATTTGGTTAAGATCAGTCACAACTCATCAAATCCTGGGTTAAATCCTGGAGTCACTTACTCAATTATTACCCAGGCAAAACTCTCATTGGCCCATTGAATTCAGGATTTGTCCAAGGGAAAAAGAGTAAAACCTCAATAAAGCTTCAGGATTTGGCCCACT